CGAATTTTCTTTAAAATGAACTAAATGAGATGGAATTTTTTGTTTTATACATATAAGAAAGATATGTATAAAACAAAAAATTTCATCTCATTCAGTTCATAGATAGAATGTCATCATCCAATTAATACATTATTGGTTAAAGATAATGAAGATGTTTTTGCTTTTTATACAAAAAAAAATGGCATTTTGCAAGTTGTTAAAATGAAAAGTGAATGAGTTTTTGAAGTTTTCAATAGTTTCATGTAATGGCAACGATGTGGCTGGTTATACATCATATTAACATATAGGCTTAGATAATAATATTGGTTTGTAAAACCTGTAAGCCTTTGAGTTAGCTAATCAATGATTTAACTAATGCAAATTCATCACGAGTTTTTGTATAAAATATGAGTAGAGCTCATATTATAATTATTGTTTATACTATTTTATGAAAATGATTCTTTGGATTCATATTTCATGACTTAAGTTGATATGGTGATCTAGATATGAATATATTGATCACAAAATTATTGTGAAAGTATTTGAAATTAGAGTTAAATATATTATGGACTCTTATTGTATATAGGCATATTGGTTCTATGAGTAAAGTTTGTATTTATTATATATCCGAAAATGTTATGACTAATTAAAAGTGGTAAATAACAATATAAGCTGTATAATGGTAGAGAAATAAGGTTCTTATAAAATTTTGAAATCAAGTTTAGATGTTTTAATAGTCATGAATATGAAATTAGCCATTGAATAATTAATATATGTATTGAAAACTCATAATAACAATTGAGATAGTTGGTTTTCACTAAAAGCTATAACTATAAATGAGATAACTCTAATAGTCAAACCTAAATGATTTATAAGTATGATGTAGATTATTATGGTTAGCTTAGAATAGCCATAAGCCAAAATTGATGCCATAATCTTGATCATATTGTGATAATTTTTTGTTATGTATATGGTTTAATTTATGGATTGTACAAATAATTTATCATTTATGGTTTTATATAGTGAAAATTTCAAAGTATATTTACTTTAGGAGCCATGAGTGATTCAAAGATATTATGAATATGCAAACTTTTATAATAGCAAAAAAAAAAAAAACTATTTGATCCATTTGGGTGATGGAAATGATTTTGTTCATGGTAATAAAAAATTATTAATAGTGTCCATGATGAAATAGATTTATATAAATATTCATGAATTGACATAAAAAGTCTTAAAAGGAAACTATAGAAGTATGATTATATTTGAAATCTACTTATTGATGCAAACTCTTATATTGAGTTAAAATATAAAAGTTTTGAAACTTTTATAGAAATGTTAAAATATTTGCTAGTTATTTTTCACTAAAGGTGGATTTATAGGCCTTTTATTTAAAAAAAAAAACCACAAAATAGTGAAAAGGTAAATGAAATGGCAACTTGATTAAGTATATATAATAGTTTGACAATTGAATAAGACATTTTTTAATAAAAAGATGCATATTTGCACATGGTAGGGGTGAAAAAAATCAAAAGAAATAAAAATTACCACCATATTATTGTAAGATTTTAGTATAATTTTATGAGCAAATTATACAAGCTAATAAATTTAGACACTTACTAAAGTAAAATCATAAAAAGGTTTTTAAAAATTTTAAAAGGACTAAAATGGTTTGGTTTATTCATTGAGTTTATCTAATTATACTAGAAGTATAACTGTATTAAATATGTATAAAAGTATGAAAATAGAATAGATGAAATTAATAAGTATGGAGTTGTGACCACAACCAAAACCAACTATTTCTTAAAATGATAAAAGTGAGGTAATAATGTTTGAAACATATAAATGATATGTAAAATGATAGGCAAATTGAAATGTTTTGATATGTTAGCCTGAAGTGATTATATTATATATTCAATCTCAAGTGAGGGTAATTATCATAAAAGAAAATTGAATTCTAAGATATTTGGTTAGTAGTACTACAAGTAGAATGGATTTAAACCCTCACTATTAGACACCAATAATGTGAACCTAACTTTAAATTAGTAACCTCTAATTACAAAGTTTAATGGGTAAAAATAAGTTATTGTTATGTGTCTGTTAAGCACTAATAAAATCCATTCAAATTTTAGAAATTAGTGCGATCTATTATATGGGGAAGATGAGTTTTTATACTCTTAATGGAGTTTTAAATGTCTAAAGCAATGGAGACATAATGGAAACTCTACCTATATAAACATAGAAGTGGTGTCACTTCAACAAGAAAAATTGAGGTTCTTTTGTAAATATTTATGAATAGGATAAGCATATGACCATAATAGTGCTAAAAGTGGTTATAAACCTCTAACAGAAGAATAAATAAGTATTATTTGTGTTATATCTTCAATACTAACACTAGGAGTTGAGATTTAATCTACGGACATCATCAATTTTGTTAAAATTCTAAGATATATACGCTAATAGAATGTTTAAATTAAGAGATATATTATTATATTTATAATATTTATTTGTGTGAAATATTAAAAATTAAGCACCAATATTTCAAATTAGTAGGGGATTGTTGGTAGTTTAGAATGTGGTGCATCTCACATTAGATAAAAAGACTTAATTATTGATGAATAATAATTATATTTGAACAAAAACAATTATTATATGACAAATAGTTATAACTATTTGAATATAAATAGAATATTATTCATAAAGGTCATAATTATACAAAATGTCATAATCATTTGAATAAAAGTTTATATCTGTTCATTTATTATAAATAAATCTTTCAATATAATCATTTTCACTACTTTTGATTAGAGAGTTTAGAGTTTTGTTGTATCTTAAAGGTATAATTGCTTTTAAGAAAGTATTCTTCACGTCTCAAAACCAAAATTGTTTTATATTATTTTTCTTCTCTTATTTATTTTTCTAACAATATATATACGAGAAGAGATTCACTTACACAATATAAAACTTTTTAATTTTACATATTTTTTTAACAATTAATTTCAATAAACCCAATGATTAGATTAAATAATTTTTTTTCTTATTTTTACTTGTTTTCCATCATCCATTAGATCTATTAAAATAAAATGATAGAAAAGATGTAAAACTTTTTCATTTTACGGTATATAAGTTGACCCTCCTCTATATATATAAAAGGAAAAGGGTTTACTTATACTAATGTAACTCTTAAATTTTTTATTTGAATTATTAGATCAAAATTACTAAATTTTAAAATATTATATTAATTCAAATGAGTTATAAATTTAATTTTAATCCATATATTTAAAAAACTATATAAGAATTACATTAATACAAATGAATCCCTATTCATATATATATATATATATATATATATATATAGATATCCCACTTGCGAGTTGGGTTGGGAGGTTTGACATTTCTTGCGAGTTGGGTTAGGAGGTTTGACATTTGTATCTCTAAGAAGTTGGTAATGGCCAACAACTCAGTTTGACATTTTGCTTTAAACGGGCTGTACCCCTAAATAGTTGGCTTTTTAAAAGTGGATGGTCAACATCAAAAAACCAATCAAGCTTAAGGATTTGTAAGTCTATCCACGTAGCATGAAGCGGAGGCATGAGATAAAAAGATGCATCGTCAAAGGTCATGGGTTGTTCCAACAAGAGCCTCACATTTTGCCAAAGTCATTCAAAGTCCTTTCCCCACTTTCGGAGGATATGGTGAAGTTGTAGTGTGCTGGCCCTAAAAAATTATAAAAAAAAAATTATAAAAAGTCTAATTTGTGTAAGAAATGGAAAATGGTGGTGTTAGCTTAACCTGAATGCCCTTGGCCTTGGAGTTAGCGTGAGTAGTTTAGCACACACAACCATGATGGATCTTTGTCTCATGATGGAACTGTTCCCCCCATTCAACTCGGCGCACGTTGAACATATTTCCAGGCATGCGAGTTTGATCCATCCAATTGTAAAGTCAAAGTCAACTTACTACATATGCTATGGCCTAGGGTTTCAAAGGCTTTACTTCCAGTTAAGTGTTTGAACGTCTGCTAATTATAACTCCAATGAGAGATTTTCTGTCTGAACGAGGATTAAATTAAGTCTCCCCGGCCTCATTAACAAAATTAAGTGATGTGTTTTCAAAATTAATATTCCAGACTGTTAAAACATGCACCCTGCAACAGCCGCGTAACGTGTGTTTGGATAAAACATCCTCCAAGGATTTAATTTTGGACTATATAAATATATATTATATGTTTGATTAGATGTTAATTAGGTTCACATTAAAGTTTCAAAATTTCATTTTAATGTAACTACAGAAAATGTTTGACATGAATTTAGGTTTGTGAAAAAAAGATTTGGCTTTAAGAGTTCACTAATATCTTGAATAATTTAGATTCAAAACTAGATGTTTAGAACTTGGAGTTTAATTCACATTTAATTAATGTAAAATTTAAATTTCAACACTTATAAATCCATTTTTTTAAAATAAAATTGCGATATTCTTAATAAAAAACTGAATGCTCATGTAATTTAGATTAAAAAAAGTTACACATAAATTAACTTAATTTAATATCGAAAAAGGGGCAAAGTTATTATACAACGGTGCTGTCACTTAATGAGTGCTCTCACGTTCTCATATTTGGTCATCCCAATATATAATTTCAAGGTTTGACAATCTGTGCTTTTAATAGGCTTCTGTTCCTTGAACGCAAAGGAAGTTTTATTGGAAGAAGAAATGAAGAATGGTCGACACTCGACAATTTTGCCTGCCCCCCCCAACTACCCTCTGCATCTGCTGGACCTTCCCTTTCATCTCCTCCACTCTCTCTCTCTTCTTCCCTCTAATAAACTACCATCAAATTGACCAAGGAAGCAACCCAAAGCTAGCTCCCACTTCTCATTCTCTCACCCTGCCCTATATCAAAATTTTAAGCTGTCATTCTTGCAATCCATCCTCTCTAAAAATACTCTTTCTCTCTTTTTAATTTGTCTAATATTCCAATTCTTTCTCTCCATGCAAACTCTTGCCTTCAATCCTGATCTCCCTAGCCATGGCCATGAAAAATAGTAGTGTTCATTTTTTTAGTCTCATTCTTTGGCTCTCTTTGTTGATTTTATTCTTTGGGTGGTGGAATATATTTTCCAAGGATATTAATGGCATCCACCACCAAATATCTATTTCTCATCTCAGTTTCAGCAACCGGAAAGTACTCTTGGCTACCAAATTTGACTTCACTCCATTTCTACATCATCACAAGCATCATCGACGACATCGTCCGAGACACGTTCCCATCCAGCCTGAACCTTCTGGTGATGAGATCGACCCACGTCACGGCGTCGAAAAGCGACTTGTTCCTACTGGTCCAAACCCCTTGCACCATTGAGGTTTTTTCTTTTCTTTTCTTTCTTTCTTTCTTTTTTTTTTGTTCTCCTATTCTCTCTTGTATGTTAATGTAATTTTGTTTTCATTTGTGATGATCATTTTATTTATTTTCTTCTCATGAAAAAAAAAAAGAAGAAGAAAAACTATGTAATAAATCGTTAATTTGTATGAATTCCATACTTGTTCAAAGTTGATGAACCATTATTCGGTACAGACCTATGGATTTACATGCAAAAAATTAATTGTTTCTTGTTTTGTTGCATTTTATTCTTTGCTGTCAAGAAAAAACTGGAGCAAGAGTAGCTGTGACGGTACAGGCACATCATGGGAAGCGAAACTTTAGCAAGAGTAGCTATGATCTTCCTAAACGAAATCTACACATTTAATTCATTAATTATAATATTAGTTTTTCTCCAAAAAAATTATAAGATTAGTTACATTAGGAACTTTGAAAATACTTTAATTACAATTAAAAAAATTAAAAGATTGACTTTTGGATGGAGATCAATAAATATAATATATTTAGTTAATTGAGAAAATAGTTGAGGAAATTTTCGGGTGAAATTCGTGAAATTTTTTAATATAAATAATTTAATTAAAACTTTAATAAAAAATTTAAATTGATAAATTAATAAGATTCAATAAAAAGATTAATATGTAAAAAAAAATTAAAAATGCTATTTATAATTTAAATTTTATCGGTACTTATTCAACGGTCAAAATTTTTATTAAAAATAATGATTTAAAAAATATATCATAATTTATTAAAATTTTTTCAAAATTTATACACTTAATTAATTTAAGTAAAAAAGTCTTTCAATCTAACAATTTTGATTTTGATTTTAGCTTTTATTTAATCATTTTTAATTAAAAACTTCACAAACTTCATTTAAAAAATTTCATTTAAAATTTTTGCTTAATTAATTATCCTTATGATAGGTTTAGTGAGATAATGACATATAAGTAAAAGAAACTATTTTCTTTTGTATTTTGAATTATACAATGAAAAATATAATTATCTCCCACAAATGCTAGTTTTTTTTTTTTTTTTTTCAAGGAGAGGAATGGATATCATTGATGAAACTCAGCACAATAGTTCCTCATACAAATAAATGAACCAGATAATAGAGATCTCGAGATTTTCTACAAAAGAAACTCTAATCACCCAATTATCTCTTCAACATATGAGGAATGGGGTGCTGGTCACCCATCCCTATTACGAATCCCCGCTAACGAAGATGGAGGTCGACTAAACCAACCCAATCCGCACATCCTCATTTTTAACTGGTGTAGCCACCCAGTCAACACCACAAATGTTAGTTTAATTAGGAGATAAAAAAAAAAAAAAAGAGCTTCATTTTCGTGTCAACTAAGGTGCTATTCGTTTTTTTTTTTTTTTTAAAGAAAATAGGATATTATTATTGTGAGAGTATTTGAAAGTAAAATTTTGAATGCATTAAACCGATATAAATATATATATATATATATGATATTAAAATTATATGAGGTGAGGATTAGGCTAGATAAAATTTTAAAATACCCTTAACCGTATTATCAAAATAAAATAAAACTGGAGTGTCAAGTTCTATCAACTGGGATGTCCTCTTGGTTAACTTTTAGAACTTCAACCAGAAAAATTTAAGAACACAAGTTTGGATCCTCAAGCAGGTTTATGATCACTTTTGCACTGTAGTCAGATTCTTATGGTGTGTTTGTTGTACTTAAAAGGTCTTTTACTTTGAATTTCAATATGGGTTGGTGTTAGCTCAAAAAAGGTTTAAAATATTAAACTACTTCCGTCTCTCTTAATAGACTTTTTGTGTTTCATTCAATAATTATAATAGCATTTCAAACATTTGCGATCCAGACCCTTGCAAATCGCAAAACAAATAGCACAAGCTATGACTGCCAACCATCATCTTTTTTATGGCTCCACCTTCCCGCGATGGCCAATGTGGTGTTTAATTCTAATATTTGAATTTGAAACCAACTAATTCCAACTTCAACATCGGCAAAATTCGAACAAAGGAATTAAAGTATTCAAGTTTAGAATAAGGAAAAAATAATAAAAAATAAAATATCAATCAAACGGAGCCTTAATTTTTTTTTTTAATGAAGTTAAGTTAATTTGACAAGGGAGAAAAAAAATGGTTAATCTAATCGGTGATGTTAGTATGGATTCGAAAATGTCAATGGTACATGGGAATATCACAAAAGCTTTTTATAATATGAAACTTCATTTGGGCTTTTGGGTTGGAGAAAGTGGATTGACTTATTATGCTAGTTTTAACAATGAGGGGCAGTCGTACAGAGAGAGTTAATAATCTCCATTTCTAGCCCAACCCAAACATTAAGGAGTTAAAATGGACTATATTTTGCTGCTATTTACATCAATTCTGTTTTCATCATTAAGGTCTCATCAATTCTCTCTCATTAGTCTAGCCATTGAATCCAAATAATAGGTGTTATGTTTCGAAAGGTAAATTTGAGAGAGTGATTGGATGTAATTTTTTATATATACATTATTATGGGAATAAAATACACATATTATGAATAAATTAGCTAGGATTTAATATACCTATAAACTGAAGGAGAATAAAAAGATGGATTTCAAAATTTTAAATCCATAACCCATAGATCCAAATCTGTGAACTTAAAAATAATAATAAAAGTCATATTTATATTTTTATTTCATAAGTTATACTAATTTTAAAATATAAGGTCATTTTTTATGTATAATATAATGGATAAGATATGATGATAATTATCTTATATTATATTTGATTTGTATTTAAAAAACTTGATAAAATTATAAGAAGGATTAATAATTCTTTTGGTACAAAATGATTCAATCCTCTAAAATTGGAGATGATTATTTTTAATTTATGAGATTAAATTTACATGTCTTATTGTATATTTAAAAATTATATTAATAATTTAAATTATATAAATTTTTAAAACTATAATTTTGATCAATAAATAAATTACCTTATCTTAATTTTTGCATATGTCAAATATAAGATATGATAATATTATTTAATCTAATCTTATTTATAATATCATCTTATTTTATCATATTATAATCTTGTGTACCAAATACAAGCTAAATTTGCTCTTTTAAATACAAGATACTAGACACAACAATGTTTAATTAATTTACCTACATACAATTAATTACCACCACCACCACCACAACCACCATCATCATCATCATCATCATCATCATCATCATTCCTTCTTCTAAATACAAGATACCACACAACAATGTTTAATTAATTTACTTATTTCAAATTAACCATCATCATCTAATGAGCGAAAGTGAAGGAATTTGAATTCACTTTTTTAACAAAAGATAATACTTGTCGTTGAGTTAGATTTTCAAGTGCATCATTTCCTACATGTTTGATTTAAGACAACAAATCAAAAAATGTCACATTAATCTTATGCAATTTTTAATTTTAAATTAAGGTTACTATTTGATACAATATCGGTTTAATTTTTTTTTTAAAAAATATAGTCTAACTAGATTATGACAATGCACAGAATAATTTTACTTATTTAATATGTATATATACATATAAGTTAATATTCTTTTTCAAATTATATTCAAATCTTCAAAATTTATAACACATAAAATTTATATATTGGACTAATTTGTCATAAACAAATAAAGTTTTTGAAAAAAGCAAAATGAAATTGATATGTCTTTACTTTACACAATTTTTATTTGCAATAATTTATATCATATATATATTTATATTTATCCAAATTTAAAACAAAGAAAGAATTTACTATGATAAAGTAAACATCCAATTATGCACAAAAAAATGCATTGTGATAGAATAAGAAGAATAGTATAGAATAGAATAAATCACTTAATACACAATATAACCCGTATTGCACAAGTCAAATCTTCACACTACAATGAATGATAATATCAAAATTATAACAATTAAACAACAACTCTAGCTCTAACCCAAGAGAGAATTAAAATTGAAAAGTTGAATATCTTAGTTATTTTTAGCATTGTTTTAATTATTTTTCAATCATTATTGAAATCATGCTTTTTTTTAGTAGATTTAATTTGTGATTTAGCAAATAACAAGTAGCCTACCTATCTCTGATATAAAACAAATTTATTGAGTTTATTTTTTTTATTTTTTTGCATATCATAATAAAAAGAGACTCCATGGTGGGTTATAATTAAGCAGGTTTACAAAAATTGAAATAAAAAGATAAAAGTTAAAGCTAAATTGAGTTGATTGAGTAAAGAGTCAAAGACAAATATAAAAGGCCTATGTAAAGAACCTATAAAAAATAAAAATAAATGTTATTATAATTTTGCACTTTGTAACATATCATAAATAAAAAAAAAAGTTAAAAACAAATGATTTACCATAAACACCTACCCAAAAAAAAAAAAAACTTATATAACTTACACTTTGTAATACATGAAGAAAATGAGGTGCAAACAAAGGTGGAGAACTAAACACTAAATACAATTTAGGTTAAAAAATGACTTATTTTTTAAAAAATATAATATATAAATTATCCAACGATCAAAAATTTCTTTTTGAATAATAAAAGCATATTATGAAATCTATTAAGATAAAACTAAAGTTAATATTTTTTAAATTTAGAAATATGGATATATAAATTATTAAAAAATTAATTTTAAAAGATAAATATATATTTATATTTAAATTGTATATATCTAAATTATTAGAAAATTAATTTTGGATAACTAATAATTTTTGAATACTTTTACTTATTTGATAAATACCATAAAATTACTAGTAAATAAATTTTAGAAGATAAAAAGATATATATTTAAACTATATATAAATTATTAGAAAATTAATTTTGGATAATTTATAATTTTTAAATATTTTTATTTATTTGATTAATTTTAAAAGATAAAAGGCGTATATTTAAATAATATATAAATTATTAGAAAATTAATTTTGAATAACTAATCATTTTAAAATGTTTTGTTTATTT